AAAATTTTAATAAATAAAAAATTAAAAATATTATAATATAAAATAAATAACTAAAACCTACAACCTGATGTAAAAGTTAAAAGTAAAAGTTTTCATCGATAAAGACGATAGAAATGGAAAAGCGGGATTACCCATATGATGTGTTGCAGAGAAGTGGAGTTGCGAAAGGTTGCCGCATAATCCAATCCAAAATGAGGTCTCTTCTCCTCTGCCATCTGTGTTTTCCATTTTCCATTTACTATTACCCCTCTCTTCTCAGCTGAATCACTGTTACGCACCATCTCCTTACGATGCTTGTAACTCACTTTTCCTGCTCTCTCAAAACCCTAAACAGAAGAAGAAACGGGTCGTGTACACTGTGCAGAAAACACAGAGCCAATCTTTCCAGATTAATTGGGCTCGTATATAAAAAAGCCCACAAATCTCCTGTTAGGGCTCTGTTTGATTCTTCATAACCAACCCATGGCCCATGCTTTTAATATAAATGAGCCTAGCCCGTAGAAGGGGACATGGTGAAAGCCACACTAATGAGTGTTGAGATCACCCAAATATTACGATTTTTTTCATAAGCAATTAGTTTTGATATATAAAAATATTAGTTTATAAATTTATTGTAATATGTTAAATAATAAATATTAAGAATTATGTTAGTTATAGTTAATTAAGATTTATAGTTATCAATTATTTTTAATAATTAAATTAAATTAAGTCAGTATTTTAAAAATTATAATACAAAAAATTATGTGACACTTTTAAGTGTCACCATAACTTTTGCTCCCTAAGATGTATTGGACTCAACTTCTATAATGTTATCAGGCCTAAACTTCAAAAATTTAGAAAAGAAAGGACCAAAGCAGGATTGCAGGAACCATAAAAATGGGGTTAGAAACCAAGTACTCGGATCGGGGAGCAAAAAAGACCATATAGGCATTTACCCTGGCTTAATTTAACAGTGCTTGTTTACACTGTAGCGATAATTTTTTTCAGTTTTTAGTATCGTAAAAGTATATAAAATATATTTCATATATTTAACATTTATTATAATTAATATTTTATATATTTTTAAAATAATAAAAAAACATAAAATCAGAAATTAAAAAACTAAAAAGGGATTTCAACATGTCAAAAGAGAAGGCAATAGGGATGCTCATGCCGTTGCACGTGTGGCTGAAGAGACAAAGAATGAAGAAGTATGGATTGAGTAGTTTCTAGAGTGCTTATATAATATTACATGGTTAAAATACCTTTACAAAGTTTCTGATGTAAAGATTGGCTTCTACCTTTATTAATAAAGATGAAATTCAAAGTTGATTATCCAAAAAAAAAAAAAAAAAAGGAAAGGTCTTGGATTAAAAAAGGGTCATCTTTTATTGTATAATTCAAAATTAAATGTCATTAATACCAAAACCAATGCAAGCTACTTCCCTTTTCTTATGACTAACACTATCTTCAAGTTGCTACCTTACTTCCCTTTTCTTATGACTAAAACTATTTTCAAGTTGCTATGCAACAGGAATTGCTAATCTTAAGGACTTGCTTATCATCGGCCCTGAACAATTGTAACAGTCACATTGTTTATAGAGCATCTTTGTTGACCATGCTGAGAAGAGGACCCTGCATTTTTTGCATTCTGTTTTAGAATGAAAGCTGGTTGTTTTGGAGAAGGGAGATCCACAATCTCGCTGTTGAGCATTGAAATGACAGTGGACATTGTTGGTCTATCTTTTGCCATTTCTTGCACACACAACAATCCCACATGTATGCATCTTAGAATCTCTCTACAGTGGCATGGGTCGCAAACCAACTTATCTACCATTTCCAAAACGTTGTCTTCATTCCACAATTTCCAAGCCTGGAAAGTGTAAAGATTAGTTTGAAGATGGAACTGAGAAATCAAAGAAAAGTGCTGATTGGAAATGATGCTTAAAATCTTACATATTCCAAAAGGCTTGAAGTATCCTCATCGTTACCAAAACTTGTGTTTCTTCTCCCGCTAACAATCTCTAGTAATAATACACCATAGCTAAATACATTAGATTTCTCTGAAAATAATCCTACCATTGCATATTCAGGGGACATATAGCCACTGCATTCCAACATCAAAACACAAACTTGATTTTTTCAGCACATGAAGCAATATTT